AGTACTGAAAAAGCAAAAAAAATAACAAAACACCGGGACCTGACGGGCTACCGGTGGTAATATATAAAATAATGCATGAAGTACTGGGAGAAAATATGTTGATGTTATACAATGAAGCCATGGAGAAAGCTAAAATTCCAAAGACATGGACAGAAGCAATAATCACAATCATACCAAAAGAAGATACAGATCTCCAGCAAATTCAAAACTATAGACCTATCTCATTACTGAACACCGATTACAAAATATTTGCAGCAATTCTGGCCGAGTGAATTAAATTAGTACTAAATACATACATACATACCAAAATGGATTTTTGCCGGGACATGAGAATAATACTTAACACTCTAAAATACTATGAATCACATCCGGAAAAATTAACATTATTTAGTCGTGTTTGTTTATCTATGTATGAATTTATAACCTTATAAATTATCAGTTATAAATATATATCTCAACAAATGAACCAGCAAACATGTGGAAAACTCATAAAAATATCACCGGTTACAGCAAACCTCCTTCCCATGCTGAAAGAAATCAACAAGTGGCAGATGACCTGAATATGTTTTACTGTAGGTTTGAGAGAAAACTACTGCCACCCATCTCCACAACCCCTATCTCAGACACATCAACAACAGCCAAGCCTCCTACAACTGACCCCATCCCATTGGGCCCACCACAGGGGTGAAATTCAGCAGGTTCTGACAGGTTCTGGAGAACCGGTAGCAGACATTTTGAGTAGTTCGGAGAACCAGCAAATACCACCTCTGGCTGGCCCCAGAGTAGGGTGGGAATGGGGATTTTGCAGTATCCTTCCCCTGGAGTGGGGTGGAAATGGAGATTTTGCAGTATCCTTTCCCTGCCACGCCCACCAATCCATGCCCACCAAGCCACACCATGCCCACCAAGCCACAGCTACAGAACCAGTAGTAAAAAAAATTGAATTCCACCACTGGCCCACCACCTCTGGTGATTACAGAAAATGAGGTTCAAGGTCTATTTCACAGACAAAAGCCTGGAAAAGCACCAGGTCCAGACAAGATAACTCCTTCTTGCTTAAAAGCTTGTGCTGATCAACTGGCCCCCATCTTCACCCGCATCTTTAATAAATCACTAGAGATGTGCTATGTTCCTTCTTGCTTAAAATGCTCTACTATCATCAGTGCCAAAGAAACCCTCCATCAAGGAACTGAATGACATCAGACCAGTTGCTCTAACATCTGTTAGTTATGAAAACTTTTGAAAGGCTAGTGCTGGCCCACCTGAAAACCATCATGGATCCGCTTTTAGACCCCTTGCAATTTGCCTACCGAGCAAATAGATTGACAGATGATGCTGTTAATATGTCTCTGCACCAGTGGTGGTTTGCTACCGGTTCACCAGGATTGGGTGAACCGGTAGTGGCAGGAGGTTCCCCCCACCCGCCTGGATATCTCTGTGCATGCGCAGAAACTTCTACACATGTGCAGAAGTGTTGCGTGCGCGCACGCCCACGAACAAACTGATAGTGGCCAAAATTGAAACCCACTATTGCTCTGCACTACATCCTACAACATCTTGATCTCCAAAGACCTATGCAAGAGTCCTCTTTGTAGACTTCAGCTCAGCATTCAGTACCATCATTCCAGATATTCTTCTAACTAAATTAAATCAGCTAGCTGTACCTGACCACACTTTTAAATGGATCATAAGCTTCCTAACAGACAGGAAGCAGCAGGTGAAGCTAGGCAAAATCACATCAGATACCTGTAAAATTAGCACAAGAGCCACCCAGGGCTGTGTGCTCTCTCCACTTCTCTTCCCTCTATATACCAATGACTGCATCTCAAAAGATCCCTCTCTAAAAGTACTGAAGTTTACAGATGACACAACAGTGATTGGTCTCATTCGAGACAATGATGAATCTGCATACAGACGGGAGGTTGAACAACTAGTCTTGTGGTGCAACCAGAACAATCTTGAACTAAACACATTCAAAAGAGTAGAAACAGTGGTAGATTTTAGGAGAAACCCTCCATACTCTCACCTCTTACAATACTAGACAACACAGTATCAACAGTAGAGACCTTCAAGTTTCTAGGTTCTACAATATCTCAAGACTTAAGATGGACACCTAACATCAAAAATGTCATCAAAAAAGCACAGCAAAGAAGGTTCTTTCTGCACCAACTCAGAAAGCTCAAACTGCCCAAGGAGATGCTGATTCAATTCTACAGAGGAATTATTGAGTCTGTCATCTGCACCTCTATAACTGTCTGGTTTGGTTCTGCAACCCAACAAGACAGACACAGACTTCAACAGATACAGTAATTAGAACTGCAGATAAACTTCTACCCTCAAAACAATGCTATAGGGCACTGCACACCAGAACAACTAGACACAAGGACAGTTTTTTCCCCAATGCCATCTCTCTGGCAAACAAGTAATTCCCACAGCACTGAGAATACTAAGACTATTCTCATCCTTCCTATTACCTATCTCTTCCCACTTATGACTATAACCATGTTGCTTGTATCTTTACAACTTATATTGTTTTATTTGTTTCTTAGTATGATTTGATTGCTTATTAGTAACTTCTGACTATCACTATTGTATTTTATTATTCTTGATGAATGTTTTTTTTCTTTTATGTACAGTGAGAGCAAAGACAAATTCCTTGTGTGTCCAATCACAGTTGGCCAATAAAGACTTCTATTATTAAAGAGCATAAAAAGAGGCAGCAGAATATTTCAAGGTGCCCACCAAGAGTTAATCTCTAAGAAGTTAAGTAGGTACACAGGTGACTCATTCAAAGTGATATTTATTGGATTTATATTTACGTTTCTGCAATGATTTCAAAATGCAGCTGTTATGGAAAGCTGTTTCCTCTTTTTGCTCTGTGTGAATGACCATCATATCCAGAAGATTTTATATCCTCTAATAGTATGGAACTTTTTTGCTCAAGAACTAGAAGTTACACATAGATTATCTGTTTCTCTAAGTCAATCTGCCAAATATATGAAGAACAGATTGATTAGGTGATATAACAGTTATTGAAATATGGTTTGTTGGAGGCTGTAGTGTCCACTGGAAGCCATGAGATGGCACTTTGAGGTCAGCCCATAAAGCATTGCAACACTGGGGAAACAAATCCTCAGGATGATGTCCTGTCTCGTTACTTCTCCATGAAATAGCTCAACTACCATTGACGCTTCTGTAAGGGTTGTGAAATCTACAGACAGTGGATGAAAATATTTGTCTACTTTTTTGTGCATATTTCATCTACTCCTGGGAAGCATGATATCTGGTATTTCAGTCTAGGCACAGAAAATGCAGCTTTTCAGAACCAGTTCCTGAAAATCAATAGAACCACTCAAGAAGATGGATTGGTTCATTCTATGGAGTTGTCAATGAACATGCTTTGCATTGTAATAAAATCTCAAGAAAAGTACCAGGAGTGTGGCCACTATGTGTTATAAATTGAATAAACCTAAAATTCTCAAACAACCCAATTTCAGAATACATCCAAGTGAACCTCAGAAAAGCTCCCCTGAATTCAGAGAGCCAACGCAATGAAGGAGTTAGTATGCTGGACCAAAAAGACTCAAGTTTAAGTCCATGCTTAACTCACAGGATGAATTTGGGATGATCATTTGTGAAAGGATAAAATGAGAAGGGACCTCGGAAGTGTCTTCTTGAGCTTCTTACAGATAGTGGCAGATGTAATGTAAGAAAGAAACCATGTAATTAGACTATATTGACTGTCTTTATTTTCTGTCGGGCTGTTGATTTTCCTAGAAACTTAAAACTGGGTCCTTCGAATTTATGAAGAATGCACTCAACCCAAAGAATAGAAAATTATTATTTATTTGGCAAGAGAATAAAATGTTTATGGGGTCAGCAAGAATATCCAAAGAAAACAAAGCATTACAAAATAAAATCTGTCTCTTCATTAATTTTCAAAGTACAGATGGGGCTGCAGATCTTTTCCTTTTAAATCATTCCTATCCCCTTACTACCTTTCTGTCCATTATATTAAAAGAACGTTATAAATTGAACATTGTTTCCGTGGCTGCTTTGTTGAAAAGCATGTGTTAATTCTTCCTTCCTTTCTTTAAATGCACTGAGTCTGGGACTGAACAGCATTACTCACACCCAACCTTTCAAGCAAGAAGGTTAAACAACAGTTAAGGCAATTCTAGGTTTTCTACAAAAAACCCCAAAAAAGTCATTTTCAAGGAGTTGATCAAAGCCCCTTTTGATGTCTGTGAGCTGAGACCCTGCACCAGTAATTGTATTTTTTAGGTGTTAAGAGGATTTCTATGGCTCTTTTCTTTCATTTGGCCTATATTGCAGCAGGCTAGCCATCCCTTCATGCAAGTTCATGCAAGCAGGCTAGCCACTGTCTCCTTCATGCAAGTTCAGACCTTCATCCCACAGGAGAAACTGGGGTTGAATTCCTACACTGTTTTTTTCTGAATCCACCTATTCTTCACATGTCCTGTCATCTTAGCTTCTTCCTTTAGTCTGTGCCCCCAAAGTCTTACAATCCTCACAAATAATGCAGAAAGGTGCTTAAGACATGCAAGCAATAGGAAGGGTATCCTGAAACCATCCTTTCCTCATCTGGGCTCCATGTGCATTTTCTTTACTGAAAAGTTATTTTTCTGCTTTTCATTCTAGACTTTGATTCAGCCGTAGCTACCAAGCAAGGTCCGTTCATGCTATTTAATTCTGCCAGTTGCCACCCTGAACATCCCTCTCCATGGCCCTTCCATATCTCCCATCTCCAGTATCTTTGTTCCTAGCAACCACAAGCTTCGCACAGGTCACTGAAGTAGCTTCAGCTTTGCCATCCCCAACACCAAGATCCATCTCTTGGGATGCTTCAGGTTGTTGGACTCTCCCCATCCCCACCCTGAGCAGGCTGAAGCAGGTGTGGGTCTGAAAGCCAAGGAGGAAGGCAGCCCAGGACTCTTGGGATCCCATTTGGTTTAGGAGTCTGTTGGTGGATCGCTTACCTCTTAGCCTGTGTCTAGGAGGAGAGCTGTGTGGAAGCTGCCAGTTCTGCTTCCTTGGTCCCCGCAAGACCTTCTTGGTGTGTCCTGGCAGGCAGGTGCAGTGGCACTGACACACCTGAGCCCCCCAAATCCAGGGCAAGGACATAAAGCTCAGCAGGAGCATCCCAGGAAGCATCCTGTGGAGGAGAAAGGCAACAAGGGAGAGATGGCTCCGGGGGGGAAGAGCCCAACAATTTCTCAGTGGTAGCATTCAAAGAATCTCTTGTTGGACAGCCTCAGGGGCAGGTGATTCCCTCCTCCTTCTCTCCTTCGGTCCAAACAATGCTCCCTTCTGCTTAGCTCAAGTCCTCTGTTTGCGGAAATTATTTGGAATTTGTTATTAAGCATGTTTTCCAACAGCTTTTGTGTCTCCCCCCCTTCTTTTTTAACTTGGCAAACAATGGGGGAGAAAAGCATATAGACACCATGCTGTGAGCAGACTGCCTCTCTGCACCATCTGTGACATCAGAAAGCAGGGAGGGGGGCATCCCCACCAGATTTTTCTCTTTGGGGTCTTTCTCTCCCCACACCCCGGCCAGCCGGCCGGCCCTTCCCACAATATTGTGAAGAACTAAATTAAATGATCACCGAAGAAAAGAGAAACATTCTTTGTGGTTTCTCTCTGGATGGCCAGACATTTCTCATCTCAGGACCCTCTCCCCAACCTTTCCCCCCCTCTCCTCCCCCAATAAACTTTGTGGGGGAGTTTTAAAAACTGTTCCGTGAAAAATGCCCTCTCTTTCTTCCGCTCCTCTCTTTGGGAACAGGCAAGGAAAAAGTTGATTTCAAGCCATCTCAGCAAGAGGAGATTGACTGCATAAAAGAAGGCTCACCACTTTGGGAGAGGGAGGGGGAAGAGAAAGGACTGTTTTCAAACAAAATTGACCATTTCTTGATAGATTTAACCGCCTGTCGGCAAACCCTTTGTCAGTCCACTGGGGAAACAGGGTGCCCCGACGGGGGCCTGGAACATTTTCATTTATCCACAAAGGCTCACAGAGTTTGGGATGGTTACAATTACATTTATTGCATGATTGCCAATTATTTCATCATTTCAGAATAGGAAACCGCTCTGCATCCATTATTATTGACATGGCTGTTACTGTACCTAGTTTTCTCCATGGCCTCCTCCCTTTCCTCTTACGACCTGCTTTTCGAGATATTTTTTTTATTGATTCAAAACAGATTTAACCAACTTAATTGGCCTAAAGAAATTTGCTGCCATTTAACTCCAATGCAAGAGCCATTTATCATTCTTACTCTTTCCAAGCTGTGTTGCTCACTCCCATGTCTCCCTGCCCACCCACTTTAGCAACTTTCAATTAGCAGGAATTTCTCACCCCCATCTACCCCCCCCCATTAAACTCACCCGTCTGGGCTGCCTAATTATGTTTTTAACCACGAGCTGACTTAACTGCCCTTCCTAGTGAACAAGTTATGGTCATTCCCTCTTCCTTGCTTGGGTTCAACGATACCTGTGTTGGGAAATAAGAATTTAAGGAGAATCGCGCAACTGATTTTGGCTGATATTACAAAGTTAAATAGTTTCAGATACAGTTCTTGTTAGGATGGAAGACCATCAAAGAATAACAGGGTTTTGGGGTGATTTGGGGTTTTATTTATTTATTTACAATATTTATCACCTGCTCCAATTCCAGAGAACCCTGAGATGTTTAAAGAATAAATAAATAAATAGCAAATCATTTTTCATAGACAAGAAAGCTACATCCCTGAAATCACCCAAAGTCATGTTGGACTCAAGGAAAACCTTTTTTTCAGCACTAGACTTGACCAAAAGTCTACCTCAGCTAGCATCCTTATTACCATAAAGTCCAAGCAGAATTTTTTTTATAAAGTTCATCAGTGACCCCTAACTATCAAATGTTGATTGATTGGTTAATGGGAATTTAGAAAGTATTACTTCACATACCATGGAGCATGAATGGAAAATTCTGCTATGTTTGAGAGCTCTTCTCTATCTAGGCTTTTGACCTACAGTTCTACCTTGAAAACAGTGGTTTTTTATGAATAACCTTACAAAGAAATGTAGTCTGATGAGAAAGGTGAAGTAGCAAGACATATGAGCAATTCACTTTTCTGCAAGTCTCCCATGTCCAAAGGGATTGCTGGTCTCTGCTCCTCGCAAACCCATGGTTTGTTCTTAAAGCCTGATCCTAATCTAGTAATCTGAAATCAGTTATCACTTCTTACCTTCACTTCTGATTTTTACTGTGGTTTCTTGCAAGCCTCAATAGTTGTTGGTATTGTAAGGTGATTTCTTACCAGACATAGGACATGTTTCTGAACAGCTTTGATCAGAGCCAAAGAAAGATGACGCAAAGGTGGCCATTCTAGCATTGTGACTATTTCTTTAGAGGTTCCATGCACACTGTGTTAAAGGCTTGCTGTCTCCCACCCGGTCCCCCAAAACCTGACAGATGTGGGAACTAGGACTGTAGCTGTGGACATGAAATGACCTCTTCCTTTTATATCACATCTCCTAGTCCAGCTGGGTTGTGTCTAGTAGAAAGATCAACATAAAGGTCAAAATTCATCAGCTTCAGGTCATGGCCAGAAGGGGGGCTGCCAGGATGCAGAGAGGCTGGCATTTTAAAGAGGCATCAATGAACCCCACTAAAGATTAAGTGGTTTAGTCCTTGTTTTGCTTAGGGTCATGTTACGGTCAGTCTAATGATTGCAAAGGCAATGCTGGGAGAGAAGAGAGTCTTTGGAAGTTAGATCTGATGTTGTTCAGGGTCTTCCCAGATCACTTTTGCTGGAATGCAAATCTTCCAATCGTAGCATGATCACCAAGAAATTATAGGTAGGTAGATAGCAAAGTGACAGGACCCCTGGCCTTCTTATGGACCTCCTGCCCCCTTTCTTGAATTGCTGTTTGTCTTTGTCCCTTATAATAGCCCACCAGTCTCTTTATTTGAGGCTAAAAAAGCATTGATCAGTTTTAACCCAGTCCATTTCTTATTTGCATTAATAAGGTAGCATTCTGGTCTTTCTTTTCTTAGTCACCACTTTCCACAATAGACAGAGCTTTTTTTATTTTCTGTAGGTTTCCCAGAAAGATTCTTCTCCCACCAGAATCTGCATTTTAAAAAGTGCCATTTTTAAAGCACTATCACTGTATGCACTTTCTGAATGCAACTCTTTGAGAAATAGTCATTACTTCTGAATAGGTATTTTGTGTTTGAGGGTGTATGTGTGTTTGTGTAAAGAAATTGCCTTATTTGAATCGTTGTCTGGGAAAAGGTGGGTATTAGCAGGTTTTCTTCCCTGCTTTTGACTGAGCAGCAAAAGGAGGCACCGTTTTCAAAATCTCTTTGATAATAATCTGCATCTACCTGCCCTTAATATCCCTCCTAGGAGCAGTTTAGGAGAATAATACATCATATTTCTTGAATCATTGGGAAAATTTAGGTAAGATGTTGTTATCAGGGTTCATATTTACTGGACAGAATTAGCCTTAATTTAACCCCATCTTGGCTGTTCTATCATAGTGTAATGTTTTGACCAAGGGATGCAGCCATGCTGGAACAAATAAACAAGTATTAGTGACATGTATTTTGATGTTTTATAGCAATAAATATAGGATTATTCATTTTTAATAGAATTAAGATTGTTGAACTATTTATATCTGTACAGGGGAAATTAACAAACCCATTTTGCTTGTAAATATATCAAGATGCATTACCCAAAAAACAATTTATTCAGTTTTTAATTGACTATTTTAGTACTTTAAAAACATAAGGTTTCATTAGTAGCATTATAACCAAACAGATGGAAACATGAGCGAAAGCCAGAAATATAAGGGCTGTTAGCTAATAGCTGGCATTAGAGTATGGACGGAAGGATAAAGAGCAGTGAGGGGTAAATAATATCATGGCAATGGCACAGCTTACATACTGGAGCCAATTGGTCTAGTGGTTAAGGCACAAGGCTAGAAATTGAGAGACAAATTGAGTTCTAGTCCCACGTTAGGCACAACAGCTGACTTGTTACTCCAGGAGTTGTTGTTGAAGGGAAAATAGGAGGAAGAAGGAGTGCTAGGTATGTCCGCCATCTTGAATTATTTATAAAACTAAAGTATGGGAAAACAAACAAACAAACAAACAAACAAACACTTGGAAGTACAGGCAGTCCCCAAGTTTAAAATGAACTCTGCTTCTAATTCTGTCTTCAACCCAGCTTTGTATGTACCACAGAACTCATCCTTATAGACAGGCTGTTTGTTACTAAAAATGGCGGATGGTGTTCTCCTCCCTTAAGCCAATGACCTGCTGAAGCCGTGCAATGCTTTCAAGAACGATTACAAACAGGCTGCATATTAAAAACGTGTGATTTCAACAGTTCATTTCAAATTTCAAATCTTTATTGCCAGTGCACAACATATGTACAATGAGATTGGTTGAGCTCCCTCAGTGCACCCCACCTCCCCAACACAGTGAAGATAGAAAATCCCTAACCCAATAAATCATATTAACAAAACACCCAGTTATGAACCCAATAGTTCATAAAAACATTGCATGGCTCCAGCAGTTTGTTGGTTCGAGAAAAAAGAATGATGTTTGCCACTTTTAGTAATAGAAGGTATTTCTCATAAGTAGGAGTTATCCATAAGTCAGACCGGTGGACAGCCGGTGGACAGCCTGTTGCACCATTTGACTGCTGTCACAACACATGTTTTCATTTAGCCCACATTGTGGGTTGTAATAGATGCCCCTGCAATAGGAATTCAGCTTCTGAAGCAGAAGTGCTGAAATGGCACATGGCTCATGTTCATTGAAACTGAGCTTTTGAAAAAGTTTGCTCTCTATTATATACCTGCCTTAGTAGGTAGGACCTACTGAACTTGACTAACCTAGATTTAGGAATGGAACTCATTCTTAACGGGAGCTGCCTGTACTTCCAAGTGTTTGCTTGTCTATTATGCCTAAAATGGGACTAGAACTCTATTATCCTGGTGTTTGGCTCAAGGTCACTTGGCTTTCATGGCTAAGGCAGGACTAGAACTCACAATCTCTTGGTGATTGGCCCAAAGTCACCCAGCCAGCTTTTATGCTTAAAATGGGACTAGAACTCACTGTCTCTCAATTTCTAGCCTCATGCCTTAATCACTAGATCAACGGGCTCCAGTATCAGACCAGATTACATTAACAGAGTTGGAAGGGACCTTACAGGTCATCTAGTCCAACCCGCTGCCCAAGCAGGAGACCCTACCCCATTTCTGACAAATGGCAGTCCAATCTCTTCTTGAAAGCCTCCAGGCTCTTCTTGAAAGCCTCCAGACCAGGTTCATACTTTCATGGAAGAATTAACTGGGAATTCCTCTGCTGGCTAGGGTTACAGTTGGGAAATTAAAAATTGTTTTGGATGAAGGAAATGAATTTTGTGTCACACTACTAAGAAAAATGCATGGATATAGACATAAAAAATGGACCAAAACTGGTTCACCCCTGCTTGGGTGAGCTTGGATCTGGATGGGCTGCAGATTCTGTTGTAAATCACCAAGGTCTTGCATTCCTAGCTAAGACAACTTGTCTAGTGACAAAGATGGGGACATACATGAATGGCTCACATGCTCCTCAGTTCCCCTCCTCAGGCTATTGAATTATTTCTTCCTCATGCTGGGCAAGGAGAAAACCCACAACCGTAGCCTCTTCCCATCTTTGGGATCCAGCTATGCGGGGGCGCTTTGTTCCTCAACAGAAGGACAGGGGAAATAATACTGATTGCATGTTAATAACAGAGCAGCCAGTTAGGAGGGTGTCTTCAAATGTGCTGCTAAGTCACAGACGAAAGTTATGTTAAGGTTAAGGTCATGTTAAGGTATGTTCAGCATCCATTTTGGATTAGTATGAACCACTCTGTCATGTACAAGAAATTTGGGGGGGGTATGTATTATGTATGTATTTCAAGATAGCGTTTTCATTTTGATTTTGCGTTTTAGATAGACATGTTGCTATAGAAATGACTAGTACATATATTATATAAAACTAAAAAGATGAGGTTTTATGTTAATACTTTTCTCTCTCCCCTCTCTCCTCCATTATTTTCATTTTCTTTGTACTTCATTTTATTTTATATTTTGATAAGCTAATAAAATATCTGTAAAAAGCATTTTTATTGTACTGGTAATGTTTCTAACTATTGCCTGACCAAAAAATTGTTTGAAAAACTTGAAAAGTGTGGTTCTTTTGCAGGGCCTTATTTAATAATGCACAATGCAGCTACTTTGTGTAAAAAAAAAAAAAAAGTCCAGTCACGCCTCACACCCTCCCCCAAAAGGATTTACAGTCTTTGTGTGAGTGTTGCCACTTTTGCATGCTATTAATCAAAGCATTTACATTTCTTTGGCCTCTACCTGAATAGTAAAGCAGTCTTGGTTTGCTTGCTTGCTTGCTTTATTTGTTAGCCTGGTCCCTCCTTACTAACCTTTTTATAGTTTCACTTACTACATTTCCTTTCAGTGAACCATCTCTGAAGTTGCTATTTCTTTATAGGGTAGTGTTTGAGTTTTGTTTGGAGTTGTTTGTTGTTTTTAGCATTTCTGAATGGTTTAGAATAGAATAAAGAATAAAACAACAGAACAGAACAGAAAGCCGCTTTTGTCAACAATTTATTTATTTACTTACTTATGTATTTTGTGTTTCTTGTGGTCTTCTTCCCTCAAAGAGTGGCCCTGGGTGTGATGTGCAGTAGCATACACCCAGCAGAAATATACAGTACAGAAATATACAGTGTGTATTAGACTAGCTAAACATGGTATAGTCTGGCATTAAATTTGAACAAGCTGCATTTACTTGTCACATTAAACCACAAACTAGTTAGTTCCATTTTAGCTCCCATGTTTCCCAAGCCAGGCTTGTACGGTTAGCTGATGGTTCTGTGTAAGCTTCCACAAATGGCTGGACCAAGGAATGCATAGTTGACTTATCCATTAGAAAAAGGTATGTGAATGCAGCCCCTTTGGAAGGGACTGTATGAGGCCTGAAGTGCCCTTCACCAAATCTCCTCCCCACCCATTTGTTTGTATATAAATAATAATTCATCCAGAAGTGGCTCCAGTGAGGACCGAGAAAGGAGCTTCTGCAACAAACAAAGGCAACCATTGAAAGTCCATGGTGCTTCATCTTGGCACAGGGCCATCGCAACAGTGTGTTTGCAGCCCCTCTCTTTTTCACCTGTGAACCCAGCCCAGTGGGGGCTGCCCAGGCACACTCCTGCCTAGTAGGCAGGTAGTCCCGGCATAACCGCAACCAGCGTGGGCCTTTTTTTTCTGCCCAAATGACCTTTACATTGGCCCCTAATCATCCCCACAGGAGGACAGGCCTCTTTCAAGACGTCCTGAGGCGTTGCCTTCTCCTCACGCCCATCTCCAGCAAGGAAGCCATTGTCAGGCCTGGTTTGCATTCGTGGAGGCTTTTGACAGCAACAAAGTGGGAAGTGGAGCACATCAGGGCTGGTTTTTTTTAAAAAAATAAATAAATCTGAGAAAGAGAAAAAGAGAGGGGGGAGAGAGAGAGCTCTACCTCGCAGCGTACCTCCCACCTTTTCCCTGCAGGTGAGCTGTGTTGATGGATAGGTCTTTCTCTAAGTCTGATGGTCCCCTTTGCTCTACCCCATCTCTTGGCAGCCTGCGCATCATCCCCGTAGCAACCACCTTTCCCCTATAAGCCGCCCCCCTCAGTTTGCCCCCTCCTGCCCCAGTCCCTTGCTTTTCCAGCTCCCTCGCATCCCTTTGGCTGCCAGCTTCCCCCCTGTGAAAAGAAAGATAGAGTCCAAAGTTGTTTCCCCAAGTTAGTTAAATCAGAAAGTACAACTCATTTGTAGGGTTGGCCCCATGAAAGGGGAGGACGTCAAAGAAAAAAGAGCAGGCGGGCGGGGGAGATGAGGGGGTGTTATTGTTGGGTTGCAGAGTGGATGGAGAAGAAGGGGGGAGAGAGAAGAGGAGTAGGAAGGAAATAAAGAAGCAAGAATCGGAGCTGGATTCTGCTTGATTGCTGCTCAATGGAAATGGCCCAGGCTGTAAAAGAAGGGGGCTTCTTTTTATCCCGCATTCCCAGCTGGTCTTAGACAAAAAGGGAGCTGCTCAGAAACCCCCCCCCCCAATTCCAATGCAGCCCGGCTTTGTTCCAGCTATTTTCCCATTCAGGGAAGAGTGATCTGGGTGGGGGGAGAGAGAGAGGAGTGGCGGTGGGCTGCTTTTCAGCACGTTTTCATGGAAAAACGGAAAGGGCATTAGAAACAGCCCCTAGCTTAGGGACTGGTAGTATGGGTCCTTTAGGAAGGGGGATGAAGAAAGGGCTGACCTTATCCTGCATTCTGGAACTGTTTTTGAGCCTCTTCTTAACGGGATGATCAAAAGGACTGTGCAGTCCCATAGTTTGCTGTTGCTTCTCAACAGTTGAGCCAGTATAAAAGAAAATAGCTGGGATCTCTTTGATGTCCCTTTCTAGGCTGGCGCCAGGTCTGAGCAGGCTTCCAATAAACATCTAGCTCATTGTTGACCTGGCTTGCATTGGTGGCAATGGACTCTGTAGTGTTGGTGGTGGTGGAGGAGGACTTCAATTGCCCAAGAAAGTGGTACTGATGTTGAGTCTGACTCCTTATACTTCCTTATATTTAACTGCCATAGTTTGCTTTCCTCTCTGACCATTTGCCCATCGTTCCAATCATGACTGAATCCAAACAAGAATTTCCCCTTCTTACGCAAAGCTGTGCTTTGCCTGTTTGTTGAATAAGACCCAATGGTAACAGTATAGGTAGATCTTGATTTACAGTCACAACTGGGATTAGAACCTCCATCGCTAAGCGATGTGGTCATTAAGTGAGTCATCATGCAATTTTACAACCTATTTTTCTCTATGGTTGTTAGAGGAATTAGGCTTCCCCTGTTGACTTTGCTTATCAGAAACCAGTTGGAAAGGACACAAATTGTGATGCGATCCTGGGATGCTGTTACCATGCTTTATAGCACTCTCTAAGCAGTTTTCAGAGTCAGCCTATTGCCCCCAACAATCTGGGTCCTCATTTTACCAACCTTGGAAGGATGGAAGGCTGAGTCAACCTTAAGCAAGTCAGGATCGAACTCCTGGCAGTGGGCAGAATTAGCCTGCAATACTGCATTCTAACCACTGAGCCACCATGGTGTAATTTTAAATGGTTTGTAAATGAATGGTTGTAAGTCGAGGACTATCTGTATGCCACAGTGGTTTGTAAATATCATAAACATGCCAAACAAACCATATTATAATCAAATGTGATGGGTAAAATATGTCCTTTGGTTGGTTCAGAAATGTAACCAGGTAGTCCTCAACTTAGGACCACAATTGAGCCTAACATTTCTGTTGTTAAGTGACACATTTCTTAAGTACACATTTTGCCCCATTTTATAACCTTTCTTGCCACAGTTGTTACATGAATCATTGCAGTTGTTAAGCTAGTAACATGGTTGTTAAGTGAATTTGGCTTGCTCATTGACTTTGCTTGTTGGAAGGTCGCAAAAGGGAATCACGTGAGCCCGGGATGCTGCGATCGTCATAAATACATGCCAGTTGCCAAGTGTCTGAATTTTGATCACATGACCATGGGGACGCTGCAATAGTCATAAGTGTGAAAAATGGCCATAAGTCACTTTTTGCAGAGCAGTTGTAACTTTGAATGGTCACTAAATGAACGGTTGTAAATCGAGATCTACCTGTATGCCTCCTATTTTCATTTGCTGACCTAGTAGATCTCACAATCAATCCATAAATGCTTGGGCATGTTTTGGGATCTTTTTTCTCCACAAAGTTATCAAGTTGATAAAACTAGAACATTAGTTCCTGTGCTAGTAGCTACTGTAGATTTAACCAACTTAAGTCCTGGTCTTAAAATAGTGCTGACAAACCTATAATGAGGTTTGTTTGGGCTTAGCCTCTTTGGAATCCTCGTGATTGGTAGGCCATCCAGAAGCCCTCAGGATCACAGGCTGAAAGTTAGTAGTCAACTGGTAATATTGATGACTCTGCCCATTTTATAGTGTAAGGAAGGGCTGTCGAACTCAAGGCCCAGAAGCTGAATTCGGCCTGTGAGGTGCTTAAATCTGGCCTGTAGGGCTGCCCTGGAAACAGCGAAGGACCGGCATGCAGTGCCTCTGCCAGTGAAAACGGAGCTTGGGAGGCTGCAACGGCCTTTTGCAATCCTCTGCCAATGAAAACGGAGCTTGGGAGGGCCGCTCCATTTTCACTGGCAGAGGGTTGCAGGAGGCCATCGCAGCCTCCCAAGCTCCGTTTTCACTGGCAGAGTGCTTGGGCCACCACAGGCGCCCCCGACACGAGTGACGTCGAGCTGGCCATACCTATCCTGGCCATGCCCACCCGGTCCCCAAGGTCAAACACAACCCTGATGCGGCCTACAATGAAATTGAGTTTGACACTCCTGGTGTCTTCAAGAATTCCCTCCAACACCCACAAAATGGGGGTGGGGTGGGGGGAATGGAGATTTTGCCCTCAACCAGTCTGACTGCATTGTTGTGGTTTGCAAGCCCTCAGAATCAGATCCATTAAATGAATCATTAGTAAATGTCTCGTACAAGCAGAGCTTCTTGAACGAAACATTCTCCATTATGGCCTTCTTAGCTACAGAATTCCCACACCAGAAACTTTTTGACACACCCTCCTCTTTTATTAATTTTAATATTCTTCTTCTGTGCTGCAATCGGGTCATTACTTTTTTAAAAAATGCTGGGGTTTTTTTTTCATTTTTCTGCTTAGCTCTCCTCAAATGCTTGCTTGTATTTCATTTTAAATTTGCTATTTTGAAGCCTGTTTTTTTTTGAACTTGAAGAGCTGTGTCTAGTAGGAGAGGAATGCATTTTAGAAATAAATAAATAAATCAAACCGACAAGCCTTCCTCACCCTCCCCTTCTCCATTCCTCCACATCTCTCTCTCTCTCTCTCTCTCTCTCTCTCTCTCTCTCTCTCTCAATCTGGAACTAATAGGATCGACTCTGTTTCATTAATTCCCTTTCATGTGTACTGAGGGGATTTCCACCACACGTAACACATCTTACCCCACATTTATCATGGATTAAGAAATGCAGTGAGCTAATGTGAACTGCCGATGCACTCTTCAAGCCAGACACAGGACAGGAGGCACTTGAGTCTGCCAAGGGGCTGGGGGGGCGGGGTTGTAGGAAAAGATTAAATAGCGCACCTCCCCCTCTGCCTCCTCCTCCTCCTCCCATACCCATATTCTTTTCCCTCATGGAAGGACAGTTTTTTCATCGGTTTTAACATCTTCCTCCTCCACCACCTCCACCTCCTCCCATACCCATATTCTTTTCCCTCATGCAAGGTCAGCCGTTTCATCGGCTTTAAAATTCACTTGTTGCCCCTTCTCTATGCGGCCAGTGGAAATTCTAATAATGTTCAGCAGCAGCCTGCAGAGCTGGTAGCAGAGTTGGACAGTGAGGAGGCTGGGGAGGACCACGGGCCAGTCCTGGACTCTGGGGAAGGCTGGGACAAGGGCTCTGTGTCGGAGGCAGAGAAAGGGCCATCTGGGAGGTACGTGTTGCCTCCGGAGCCTCCAGAGCCAGACCTCAGTGAGGCAGACGAATAGGGGGAGCCTGTTCCCAGTGTGCACATGCGCAGAGCTGCCAGAAGGCAAGAACAGCTAAAACAAAAGGGATGACTCAGGAGTAGGTCTGGGCGATGATTGGCCCCTCCCATAAGACTTAAAAGAGGAGCAAAGGCACATGAGCCTTTTCAGGAAGCAACATTTGTTCATTCAGTTCAGCTTAAAGCCTGAAGCTCTGTTTGATTCTGGACTCCGTGTGGCTTTGCCAATTAGGTCTTTGGTAGCGTGTCAAGGGAGATAAAGGTGGGTGATTATCCTGAAAGACTTCTCCTGAAAGATTCTTTATAACTAATTGGGATTCATCTGTGAATGAAGAGAATTCACAGCTGTTGCAATAAAAGAGATTTTTGGGACTACTCGTGTGTTTTAATGACTCAGGAAGCCTAGGTCAGAACAAATGAGTTGAAGAGCAGTGAAGTGTTGGAATGATAGCTAAACATGAAAGAAGGGAAGAACTGGGCAATGATACCTATCCTAAATGACTTCCTTTATAGTATTGAACCAAAAGGATTCTTCTCTAAGAATCTTATTCTGGGCCAAGGATGAATAACATCCCTGGATCAGATGCCTTCTAACCACCAGTGGGTGGTACAAAGAGATACTTGAATTCCTTTATATGAAAAATGACAGGTAGTCCCAATTTATGACCACAATTGGAACCAGAATTTCCATTGCTAAAGAAGGTGATTTTTAAGTAAGTCATGCCCAATTTTATTACCTTTTTGCCTTTTTGCCATGGTTATTAAGTGAATCGCTGCAGTCATTAAGTGAATCAGGCAATTGCTAAGTGAACCGGGTTTCCCCCATTGACTTTGCTTGTTGGAAGCTGGCTGGGAAGTTCTCAAATGGTGATCAGATGACCCCAGGATGCTGCAACTGTCAGAAATCCATGCTAGTTGCTAAGCGCTCAAATTTTAATCGCATGACCGTGAGGATGCTGCCATGGTTGTAAATGTGAGGACCAGTCATTTTTCGCATACTTAAGGCCAATCAAAATAAAAGCACCTATTAGCACATCCAGAGCTGCATTCTTCGTCTCTCTCTCTCTCTCTCTCTCTCTCCCTCTCTCCCTCTCTTCCCGCATGCCTATATACATACAATGCCATCAATAGGGTCTACTTTGTATACACGTTGTATAGGTTTATGCTGCATATCATCCACTTTTAAATCCAATCACTATTCCTTTCACATTCTAAATTAGATGGGAAAAGTCTGCAAAGATCACATCCAGCATTTTTCTCCTAAATGATTTGAGACTTAATTGTCTCATGTAACTAATGCTAGCAAGTAATTCCGGGAACTGAAATTTAACTCAACATTTTTGGAGGGCTTTAGGTTGGGGAAGACCGGCCTAGTTTAAGTATAATCCATTTGTGGCCATTTGTGGCAGAGCAATAGCAACAGCAATGGCACTTAGACTTATATACCGCTTCACAGTGCTTTACAGCCTCTCTAAGAGGTTTACAGAGTGGGCATATTGCCCCCAACAATCTGGGCCCTCATTTTACCAACCTCAGAAGGATGGAAGGCTGATGAAAGGCTTGAGCCAGTGGGAATTGAACTACCAAACTGCTGGCAGTCGGCAATCAGCTGAATTAACCTGCAGTACTGCATTCTAACCATTGCACCACCACAGCTCTTACAAGTAGAACATAGAGCAAGAGATAGCTTTATGTTGTACTGTTGTCAAACTATCTTTTCTAATGCAGTTTAGCCCAGTTTCATTATAGAGTCAAAATCTGAATTACAGTGTAGAGAAGTATGCTAAACACTGCTGATCACAGATTGGCATTTCTCTACTTTGGACTTGACTGGCCTGAAGGACCTTTGATTTTGCAAAGGTTTTATCGTCATCAGCTCCTACTATAGGATTTACTCGTTTGCAAATCCATCTTGCAACATCAGAGCACATGACAAGACCTGCTGGATCGTAATCACAGGTCTGCCCAGCAGCCCCACTTTTAATTTATCCATAAGAGTTAGCAACCCATACCAGAAGCATAAGAACATGTTGATCAGTGTTCCGTATCAGTTTATACAAGACTGCCACCTAATGTCTTCAAACAAGTTTGTTATGAATAAATCATTAAACCTCTTACACAATTTTCTACAATCTAATTTCTTCTAGATATGTTGTGTTTCAACTTCCAGAATTATCACTGTGGATTCCAAGGAACCTGGAAAGTGTTAAGATAAGAAAGACTTGTGTGTTTAAAGAGGTACTCTATGTATCACATAATGGCTGAACTATTTATTTATTGAGAAACAGAGAGAAAGAGGAAGAGAAAGAGAAAGAGAAGGAAGAGGAGGAGGAGGAGGAGGAGGAGGAGGAGGAGGAGGAGGAGGAGAAATGTTATAAAATATTTAATATGCTTTATGAAAAGGGCTCAGGTGAAGAAAAACATATGTTAAAGTTTAAGATGTCTCACAATGCTTCACCATGTTGGCTGCAGTAGATGACTATCTAGTTGATGAAATATGTCTTTTATAAGCAAAATTATTTATGGTTGTAATCCTGAAACTCTTAACTATGTATAAGTCAGACAGGATTGAATGCAACATCTAGGAATAAACATAGATAAAACTGCAATCCAAACATACTTTCTTCACTGTTAGAAATAGCAATTGTGTAGTCTTTCAGTTCTCCTACCTATTAGCAATACATTCATAAGTCTCACAAGGTTTGGATGGAATCACCAGATTTTATGGCAACTAGCTGGTCATCACCATTTTTTTGCAAATAAAAAAAGCTGAAGCAATAATTGTATGCTGTTTGGCGGATGTTACATATAGCAAGTTAGTGCTCTTTGAAACATGCAGAACTTTGGAGCATCAAACCTACCGTAATTACATGAAGCAAGTTCAGGCAATCAGTGGAAACACTGGGGTTCACTTTTTAATCTAGAAACAGGATCCAAACTTCTTCCATTTACTAGGCAAAACCCATTGGCATGTGCAAAAATGCCTAGAGTTGACTTACTGCTATCTCTGGAAACAGTCACAGGAAAGGGAGTTGTCTCTATATACACAGGCACATATATACACTCTGCCAGCTGTCTTTAAGCATTGATTTCCATGGTGTTGGGCTCCCCCTGTTGCTCTCGGATAAGATGAGGCCCTGCAGTCCGAACCAAGCGAGTGGCATTTGGGGCCCGTCCAGGTGAGCTGGGGGGCCTGGTGGGGGAGCTCTGTGTTCTGGAAGTGACCGGAGACCTGGCAGGGGAGCGATGGTGTCTACGGGCAGCCCAAACAGGCAGTCCAGGGGATCTTGCAGGAGGAGGTGGAGAACTGGAATAACTGGGTGGTAAAGGTTGAATAGCTTCTCTGGAGTCAGGGATGGATTCCACTTCAGCTTCAGGAGAATCCTTTGAAAAACAGGAAAATACAGGAAGCTGTAGTCATAAATAAAAAATAGACTCCAACATCCTCATGAATGCTGACAACTGTTAGAAAAGCAGATTGAATTCATGCATTTATTAGTATTTAAGCAATTGCATATACCATTCATTTATGATCCAGGTTCCCAAATTAACCTCTTAATTTTTTACTATTAGCTTGCTTTAAGAGGAAAAGCGGTATGTAACCACTACTACGATATCATCAGTGGGTAATTGACAGTTGTCTATGGAAATTCTGAATTATCCAGGTCCCAAAGGTGCTTTTTCCAAAAGGCAACTGGACTTTCTTGCTTTGAAAATGTTTCTCTTCTCATCCAAGAATCTTCTTCAGTTCTGAAGAGAAATGCACTGAGAGCTGAAGAAGCTTCTTGGATGAGAAGCAAGACATTTTCAAAGCAAGAAAGTCTAGTTGCCTTTTGGAAAAAAAGCACCTTTGCGACATCATCTACAGTTAGATTCTCTCTAGCCAACCCAACCCTTTGGAATAACCTTACACCTGGGGTTTGAGGGGCCTCCACTCTTTTAGACTTTCAGGAGACTGTGAAAACCTGCCTCTCCCCCCCAAATGTTGGGCTGGGATGGGGCTGTCAGGAGGTCAGTAGTTTGGTTGGAAGTTGAAAAGGTATTTTTATTCCATTGTTTTTATTGGTTGTTCTGAGCTGCTTACCAGATGAAATCACTAGCTGGTTCAGGCAGTCATATCAGTTCTTTAAATAAGTAAATAAATCAATTAAGAATTTGCTGGCCATAGGGAAATGGTTATATTATTAATATTGAATAACAGAATACCAGAATTGGAAGGAGCCTTGGAGGTCTTCTAATCCAACCCTCTGCTCTGCTCAAGCAGGAAATCCTACAACAGTTCAGACAAATGGTTGTCCAATCTCTTCTTTAAAACCTCCAAGGAAAACAAGGTTGTCTCCAATAGCAAAGAGATAAAGCCACAATCTTTTCCAGGTTCACATCAATCCTAGAAGACCTCACATTATAATGTTGAATCTTTCAGTAGGCTTGCTGATATCATCTGTATGAAGGTTAACTGTTGACATGTGAGTTAAAGCAGTCCCCAAAGCACACAGCATGCAATATACCGTACCTTGTCCTTCAGGATATACAAAGCCACTGGATTCTTGCGTTCATGTTCACTGCTTCTAGGAACAACCTCAACTGCATAACAAAGCAAAAATGGAAATTGATATTGTTTCAGGGTCTTTTTAATGTGTAAAAACAACTCCTGTGAACAAGTTGGGAATGTGCCAGTGATAGGCAGCTTATAAGTACCGTGTTTCTCCGAAAATAAGACCCTGTCTTATATTTAATAAGAGCCTTGGTGGCGCAGTGGACTAAGTGCTGTTAAAGTAGCACTTAGTTGCCAGCTGCCTGCAATTACTGCAAGTTCAAATCTCACCAGGCTCAAGGTTGACTCAGCCTTCCATCCTTTCGAGGTAGGTAAAATGAGGACCCGGTTTGTGGGGGCAATAAGCTGACTTTGTATTAAAAAAGAACATCGCTTGGGGGGGCCGAAAGCCCTACTAAGCAGGTATATACAAAAGTATGAAGGCTATTGCTTAATGTATTGTAAGCCGCCCTGAGTCTCCGGAGAAGGGCGGCATATAAATCGAACCAATAAATAAATAAATAAATACATTTTTTTGAACCCTGAAATAAGTGCTTGGCCTTATTGCCATGCATTCAAAAGCCCGATTGGGCTTATTATCAGGGGATGTTTTATTTTGGGGGAAACAGGGTACCTTGGTAAAAAGACCAAGTTCTATCATTGCATTAAGATCTCTGTTGTTATAGATCTTTCCCGCAACATCTTTGTCCATCTCTGTTAATATATATCTATGGTTGTGGCTGATCTGCATCTTTACTTACCAAGACTGAATCTGCAGTCAAGTAGCCTGCCTTGACCTCTGGCGCTCTTGTTGACCCAATTTGATGTACTTGACTGGGTTACTTCAATTGAATTTGTCTAAAATAGCCTGTCTCTTCCTTTACTTTTTCAGCAGCATAAACCCCATATCTCCAAATTAAAGCAAGGTTCCATTTTTCATTCTCATTGATAAAAACCATCCTCTATACATTTGTGTAAACCTCATTAAGAAGTTCTGTAAATTAAGAATCCTTCTCACAACTTAGCCGGATATTAGTAAGATGGGATGTCAATAATATGCTGACTAGGAGTTCTGGATATTGTGACCCCGCACATCTGGAGAGCATCAGATGGGAAAGGTTGTCATAGAAAGATCCCAGTGTAGTATGGGAGAATTATTTTACCATTGTGTTTTAAGCGTTCTTCGTTCTGGTCCAGGTATTCTGAGGAACTTTCCTTCTCTAGTTTCCTTTTGTTCCTACAATGAAAGAGAGCCCAAGAGCTTGTCTTAGTGATATTCCTTGCTTATGGTAAAGCCATCTTGATACTCTATGGATGAGATACCACATACAATGGACAGCTGGCATTTCAGTCTCAAATGCTACCTTCCAACGAAGCTGAGCAAAATGTGTCCCATGATGACCTGTGGGAAATGCCAGACTTGTATGCCGCACTCTTTCCAGATTTGTTCAGTGTTCCACCAACCAGAAAGAGCAACTAACAAGTCTTTTTCTTGATGAAGCAATATAAATTTGGGAAGAAATTACTACAAGGGGGGAAAAAATTAAGAAACTCTCTCATACACATATATGTTTTCTACTAGTACCCAATATCTGCTGATACATCCCCTACTGAAAACAAAACACTGGAGAAAAATTAGAAAAATCATAGTGCAGGGTACAGATGGCCAAGGCTCTTACCTGAAAGAGATGGCCTGTCTTTTGTGTAAGAGCCTTTAGCCAACATTTTTGGAGTCTCATGAAGAAAGACTCATTAAGCTAAAATTGTACTGTAGGAATTAATGTATATACAAACTATGGATTCTTTTTAAGGACAACTGAAACACTATTAATCCAGGAATTATAGTATGCAGAGACTAACAGTCTATTCTGGATCAGCCAAGAGTGGGTCTGGTCTACCATGCTTTGCCATTCTCCAGAGATTTGAAGAAATGAATTGGATCTGGAGTTTGTAACAAAATCCCTATGCCTGTGTGACTGCAGAGACAAAGACAGTTCAGCATGTGGTCCTTGGTTGTGACTCTCCAGAACCCTACTTAGCACTGTCACCCATCCTACAAAACAGATGAGTTTTACACTAAACTGCTGCTGTCAGATACCAATCAAGATACAACAAGAGTGTTGCCATCTATTATCCAGCTGTAATGAAGAGAAGATAATTGCTGATTTCTTCAGCTAACTTTAATTTCATTTTACAGTTCCTATTTTGAAATGTTAGGCTACCTCTCATTAACTGAAATATTATTATATAGAGCTCTGATCTTTAATCATCATAAAGGATTTTATTTCATCCAGAATTTCACTAGCATGCATTATCAGGAAGCAGTTTCACATCCATCTACTCTAATCCAAGGAAAAAGAAAACCTGTGGTAAATTATTTCTTTCCACGTCAGGATCTTAGGTTTGCTCCAGTTATATGTACAACCTTATAAAGAACCCAGCTGTACATATTTGAAGCTGCTGAAGAGATACACACAATGAGAAGTGACAAAGAGAGCAAGCAATGATGAAAATGACTTTCATTTGAAAAGAAACAGTTTTGCAGAATGGATCTCTGAATCCCAGTTTCACTTCCCTTGATTGGCTGATCCTTCAACGTGATTAATAGGATTGATTTATTAAATAAACCTTGGGCTGCACTGCTAAATGCCTTCTAAAAGCATGGATTGGTTTTCTTAATATAGTATTGTTCCAAGGCAAATCGATAATTTCCCTTTGCGATTTTGCTGGGAAAAATGGAGAAATGGGTGCATCATTTTGAAAGTAGGATTTTTTCAGATCTCAAGTAAGTGGCTAGATTTGATACCACCCCAGTACCAGAGCCAGCAGTTTCACCAAGGTTACAGTAAAGCAAAAATTAAACCATCTGCTATTAGGAAATGGCTTGTCTTAAAATGTGTCTCATTTCATTCGGGGGGAAAAATTGAGGACATTAGTAATTGTAGATAATGAGCAGGTCTATATTTCCCAATAGAGACATTATGTAGATATAGATAATATGCATTCAGGTTCATACTTCTTGGATGGTTTCCAGCAGGCACAAACGGTCACTAAGGTACCCAGAAGGAAAATTCCCCCGGTGGACAGGATTATATAGAGGGAGCTCCTTCCTACGAAAAGACAAAAATTGAATTAGAGATGTGATTAATTAAATGAAAAGAGTGACACTTGAGATTCGCCTAAACCTCAAGGATTAAACTAAAAGGTTATGCTGAGTTTCTGATCTCTGAGGGGAAAGGTAACATTATCAGGAAGATATTTGATGAAAGCTTCTGCTTTTATACTTGTACATATATTGTACATACACATATAACTGCAGGCTGGAATCCCTGAGAACTAAAATCCCTTCCTTCCTTCCTTCCTTCCTTCCTTCCTTCCTCCCTCCCTCCCTCCCTCCCTCCCTTCCTAAGACTATTATAAGCTGTTATTCTTTCAAAATAGTGCCTTAGCACCTTAATATTACATAGCAAGGGGTAGCCAAAAATAACGTGTTTCCTTGAAGAACTGGAAGTTCACACCATGCAAGAATCGAGGGCCATCTGGCTACAGTCTGTACAACTGTGGCCTTACCCTTGATTTATAACTACCTCCTGAGTTTTATTTAGAGGCAATATTTCACGCTCTTGTTTTAGAGAATCCATGGAGACCTGGCTGCCTTCTTTGGCATTACCTGCCAATTCTAGCTTAGTAGCCAACAAAACATCTCCATTCTTCTGCGCTCCCTTTTATTTTGTAGGATACTGTCAAGGAAGGGGGAAGGGTCATGCCTGGATCAGGTCAAGTTTCTGAACCAAAATAATGTTTTATTTTAGATATTATTCTCCATATTCTTGTAGGGGAAATAGTAAGTACCTAACTCTGGCGCAACAATAAGAACAGAAAGTTATGGAACTTCCGGTTGATGTCGCAGTGGGAAGAGACTGGAAAATAGAAAGCTCTGATGAGCCGTGCAAAATCCAGCTGGATGAACCGCTGCCAGGAGGCTTTCGAGCCATAGCCATCTTGTAGGGATGGTGAAGAAAGGCGAGGCGTTTTGTGAACCATGAGGAATTGGCAATTTCCTCGCTGGAACAGAAACAGCTCTCCTGAAGCAGTAGTGGGGGTGGCGACCATCTTATGGTGGCCCCCTAGAAGCTGGGACAACCAAACCGAAGAATTGTGAAGGAGTAGCGATTGGATGGTGTGCTAGAACTGAGTGAGATAAATGCCAATTTATACTAAGAAAAATTAAAATTGAAGTTTTAAAAGAATTTCTGAGCTTTGACTAGCAGCTATTTGGCATTTGGGGGAAAAAACATAATCGTGGAAAAAGAGAAGGTGTGGACTGTAGTATAAAGAAACTAAGAGAAAGTCTTGTTTTTGGAAAATTGGGAAAAGCAAAAGATTTTTAAAAGGAAAAAAATGATTTTAGGAAGAAAACAATAATTTATAAAGAGAACTTTTAAAAATCATTGGACATTTTGACAAACAATTGGATAAAATAGCCTGCATTGTAACGGAGTAGAAATGGAGAGTGCCATCTACTGGAGGAAAGAAAAAGCACTATAACATTCCATTCAAGTAGACAAAAGAGAAGAAATAGGAGCTGGAAATTTTGACTTTGGCTGTATAGAAGAAGATAATTAGGACACTGTGAGAATATTTAAGGAGTGACTGTGTTTTACATCTGGGTGGTTGTTTTATTTCCCTTCTCTTCTGGAAGATAGTTTTATAACTGGATTTGACTGTTGCTGAATTGGGACAATAATTAATAATTGAGAAGAACATTTTAACTTTAAAAAACAAAGGAATAATTGAAGAAGAAAAGAAGAAAAGAAGAGGAGATATAAGAAAATTATACAGACAAAATTTTGGCTAAGTGCATAGATTGGGGAAGTATTAGTAACCTTTTAAATTGTCATAAAATGGAGTTGCAGATGTATGAAGAGCTACTTTTGATGTTTAAAAGCATGTGTGAATCTTTAACAGCAAAAAGAAATGGAAAATTCATTTAAATATACAGAACAAGAAAATGAAGAGAAGTTGGAAGAGGGAAATTTAAATGAGAAACAAGAAATTAACAATGTTGAAGAAAAAATATTAAAAAATAGAAATCAAATAGAGAGCATTATAGAAATGGTTGGGAATGTAAAAAGAGCTGAGAGGAAAGGGGGAAAACTCCCCCTAAAAAATGAACAGGCAAAAGGAAAGAAGGGGAAAACCTGGAAGAGACAAGTGAAAGCTTTGGTGAAGGATGTTCAAACACAACAAAAAAAGTTAAATGGAACCCAGAAGATGAAATGTAACATATATAAAAAAATAAAAAAGAGGTTAGAGCGAGTTAAAGGGTCATGCAAAACATTATTAGAAAAGGGAATGCTAAAAAAGATTTAGAGATGATAGTTAAAGATGAAGGATGATGGGGTAAAAGTTGGCAAATAAAAATGAGGTAGATCAATAAATGGGAATGGAAAAGTAGACAGAATAATAATAATAATAATAATAATAATAATAATAATAATAATAATGATAATTGTATTTTTGATAGTTTTTAAAATTAGAATGGAATTTTAATTGTTATTGAATTGAATTGAATTGAATTGAATTTATTAAATTTTTATACTGCCCTTCTCCCAGAGGGACTCAGGGCGGTGAACAGCCAGGATTAAAATACATACAATATGAAAATTAAAATAATTTAAAACATAATTAAATCCATTTGGCTTCCCCAATTTAAAACCCTTTACCCATAAAACAATTAAAAATTTTAAGCCAGCCCGGCTTGCTGAAAGAAGAAGGTCTTCAGAGCCCGGCAGAAAGTATGGAGGTTCGGGATCAATCGTATTCCTGGGGATAGCTCATTCCAGAGGGCGGGTGCCCCCACAGAGAAGGATTTCCGCCAGTCGACATTGTTTGACCGACGGCACCCTGAGGAGACACTCTCTGTGGGAGCGTATTGGTTGGTGGGAGGTTGTCGGTGGCAGAAGGTGGTCTCGTAGGTACCCAGGCCTTAAGCCATGGAGCGCTTTAAAGATGAGTACCAATACTTTGATGCACACCTGAGGAGTTAGACCAAGCTGTACCTCAAAATTACAAGTAAAACACAATTCAGCCAGGAAACATATCCTTTGACACAGAGGTCAGAGTTGCAAAAGAAACACATATTCATATTCCTCACAGTCTGAAAAGCCCAAACACATTTAATTTTAATGGGCAAGCTTTCCCTGAAGAGTTAGACCAAGCTGTATATCCCAATTGGTGAAAGGACTCAATTCAGCCAGAAAACGTAACTGTTGACATAGAGCTCAGATTTGCAAAGGAAACACATATTCATGATTCTCAGAGTCTGAAAACCCCAAAACACATTCAATTTTCAAAGGCAAGCATTCCCTGAAGAGTTAGACCAAGATGTATCTCAGAATTGGTGTAAGGACTCAATTTCAGCCAGAAAACTTAACTGTTGACACAGAGCTAAGGTTTGCAAAGGAAACACACATTCATATTCCCCACTGTCTGAAAAGCCCAAAACACATTCAATTTTCAAAGGCAAGCTTTCCCTGAGGTGTTAGACCAAGCTGTATCTCAGAATTGGTGTAAGGACTCAATTTCAGCCAGAAAATTTAACTGTTGAGCTCTGTGTCAAAAAATATCTTTTCTGGCTGAATTGAGTTCTACTTGTAATTTTGAGGTACAGCTTGGTCTAACTCTTCAGGGAAAGCTTGCCTTTGAAAATTGAATGTGTTTTGGGTTTATCAGACTATGTGCTTCTTTTGCAAATCTGAGCTCTGTGCCAACAATTAAGTTTTCTGGCTAAATTGAGTCCTACTGCGAATTCTGAGATACAGCTTCGGCTAACTCCTCAGGAAAAGGTTGCCTTTGAAAATTGAATGTGTTTTGGGCTTTTCAGACTCCAAGGGGAATGAATATGTGTTTCTTTTGCAAATCTGAGCTCTGTGTCAAAAGATATGTTTTCTGGCTGAATTGAGTTCTACTTGGAATTCTGAGATATAGCTTGGTCTAACCCCTCAGGGAAACTTCGCCTTTGAAAATTGAATGTGTTTTGGGCTTTTCACACTCTGAGGAACAAGAATATGTGTTTCCTCTGCAAATCTGAGCTCTGTGCCAACAATTACGTTTTCTGGCGAAATTGAGTCCTACTGCGAATTCTCAGATACAGCTTCGCCTAACTCCTCAGGGAAAGGTTGCCTTTGAAAATTGAATGTGTTTCGGCCTTTTCAGACTCCAAGGGGCATGAACAGGTGTTTCCTTTGCAAATCTGAGCTCTGTGTCAAAAGATACGTTTTCTGGCTAAATAGAGTTTTACTTGTAATTCTGAAATACACCTTGGTCTAACTCCTCAGGGAAAGCTCACCTTTGAAAATTGAATGTGTTGAGCTTCCGGTGGCTCCGCAGACTGACGAGGACGGTCTCTATAGACCGCCAGCCACCCGATCTGTTAAAACCGCCCTGATAGCGCTAAACAGCTGTCCGGCGGTTTGAAAAAACTCTCCTTTGGGCAAAGAAGGAGAGGAGAGTCGGAGGGGGTGGGTAGAGCTCCCCGTAAATCACTGGATTAACTCCAGGGACTCGGAGGGTGAGAGCTCCCCAGTTCACCCCTCCCAATGCTCCGGATCGCTGGTGCCTCTGTTTATCAGAGCAAGTCGTCTGCATCCAATTCTGCCGGCAAACAGTGAGTTTTATTGATTTCTATCAAGGCAGACAGAGCGGAAGCAAGAATGCAAGCTTTTTAAAAGGAACAGAACTTAACTCCGTGAATACTTTGTTGCAAACGGAGCTCTCTTGAGCTGGAGGCTGGAGAGGAAGCCTTTGTTATGGGCGGAAGGGAAAGTGAAACTTAAAGGGAAACTGCTTGTTAAGAGCCCTCTGCCTGAAGAGTAAACTGCTGGAGATTGAGCAGAGTTTGAAGAGAGGATTGTTTATTTTGGAAAAACTTTGAAATACATTTTGTAAGCCTGTTTATAAGATTCTGTGGCTGCAAAAGGAAAAAACTTTTTTTAAAAATAAAATGGCTGCTAAACAACTAAAGCCACCAACTTCTAAAGGGGGAGGAGGTTCTCCTGTAGTGACTCAAAAACAACAACTTCCGGCTGACACACAGTCACAAGACCTT